TATCGCCCTACTCTGTGAATTCGCCACCATCCGCAGTTATTTTTGTGGAGGCTCATCGTAGGAGAGCCTCTTGTAAGTCTCACGAGGGTTTTTGAGGGCTTCTTGGGGCCTTCTGGAAGCCTCCTGGGTTCGTTCTGGGGGCCACTGGGAGCTTCCCCGGGCAACCCTGCTTGCAGTCGCGGTCTTCCTAAACGACTGGGTCACGACTTGGAATAATTCTGGAGGCGTCTTGGAGCCATTTTGGGCCGTCATGGGGCTCTCTTCGGGCCATATTGGGACCCTGTTGGGCCGTCTTGGGGCTCCTCTTGGACTGCCTGGAAGCTCTCTGGATAAAATTTGAGGTGATGCTCTAGCCTCCTGAACAAAGAACAAAGCATTCCCATGACACAGGAGAAAATGCTCAATCCGAATATTTTTAGGGCTATAGGGCTAAGGGGCTGTAGGACTATAAGGCTATGGGGCTATAGGGCTGTAGGGCTATAAAGCTATAGGGCTGTAGGGCTATAAGGCTATAGGGCTATAAGGCTATCGGGCTATGGGGCTGTAGGGCTGTAGGGCTATTAGGGCTATAGGGCTATAGGGCTACACGGCCATAGGGCTATAGGGCTATAGGGCTATAAGGCTATAAGGCTATAGCGCTATAGGGCTATAGGGCTACTGGGCACCTGGGCACCCGGGCCGGCCACCGAAATCGACGACGCACCTCGCCTAACCATATGAATCTGCTAGGACCCCTACAGGGGCAAGCTCTGATTGGGGAAAAATCAAACATAAACCATTGGAAGCCATGTTTTTGCGTTCCGAATACCTCTTGGGGTCTTCTTTGGGACGTCTTCGGGCGTCTGGTGGGTGTCTGGGGCCTGTGTGGGCTCTTGGCGGGGCCGTCCGGCCGCCCTCCTGATCGATTAGGGCCCGTTGCCTAGGCCCAGCAGGGGTTGCAGGAGCCCCAGGAAGCACCGGGGACCGCTGCAAGGGCGTACAGGGTGCCCCCAGGGCCAAGGTTCGGAGGGGTCCCGTTTGGAGGGGGGGGGTGCAGGGTCCCAGATTGCAAAAATATGGAAACGGGAATCTATATATATATATATATATAGATATACATATATATATATATATATATAGACATACATACATACATACATACATACATACATACATACATACATACATACATACATACACATACACATACACATACACATACACATACACATACACATACACATACACATACACATACACATACACATACACATACACATACACATACACATACACATACACATACACATACACATACACATACACATACACATACACATACACATACACATACACATACACATACACATACACATACACATACACATACACATACACATACACGTACACGTACACGTACACGTACACGTACACGTACACGTACACGTACACGTACACATACACATACACATACACATACACATACACATACACATACACATATACAAATACAAATACATATTCATATACATATACATATCTATATACATATACATATGCATATACATATACATATGTAAATATATACATCTATATACACATATATACACATCTACATGTATACATATATACATATGTGTATGTGTGTGCGTGTGTGCGTGTGTGCTTGTGTGCTTGTGTTTGTGTGCTTGTGTGTTTGTGTATTTGTGTGCTTGTGTGCTTGTGTGCTTGTGTGTGTTGTTTGTGTGCTTGTGTGCTTGTGTGTGTTTGTGTGTGCTTGCATGTGTTTGTGTGTTTGTGTGTGTTTTGTGTGTGTGCTTCTGTGTGTTTCTGTGTGTTGTGTTTGTGTGTGTTTGTGTGCTTGTGTGTTTGTGTGTTTGCATGCGTGAGTGTGTAATGGCGATGCGGCCACGCGTGAGGCGGCGCGGCGTAGGCAGTCGAGCGGGAGAACGCGCGCGGCTGGGCCAGTTCTCAAGCGGCCGAGTGACGTCACTGCAGAGCGAGGCGGGCCACATTCCACTTGGCGTAGCAGATGGATGGATCACGGAAGGCGAGTCGCGTGCAGGAAACATGAGTGGTGGCTGCGCTGGTGGGGCAGAAGCGAGAAAAGCAGCATTCACCGAGCATGGAAAGCCTGACAGGCCAGGGATCAAGACTGCCGAGCACCCAGACCTGCACTGTGGCAGGCGGGGGCAAGGGCCGAAAAGCACGCCGGCGGAATGGTGGGGCGCAGGAGCGCAGCATGGCGCACCGGCCAGAAGCCTTGGCTGGGCGGCCGTGACCCGAACGGGTAAGCAGTGGGGTCCTGCACCTGGGCGGGCAAGGAGAAAAAAACGGGCCGGCGACCGTACCCGCCGAGCGGTCCCCGAAGAAAGGAGCAGCAAAGCGAACGAGCCGAGCGGTCCCCGAAGAAAGGAGGAGCAAAGCGAACGAACAGGCAACGCCCGCACAATCATACACACACAAGGTTTGCGTCGGCGGCTAGGCACAGTGACTGCGCTGGCGGATGGGGCGAATGCAGGGCACACAATTGCTAATTGAGCCGCGATGCACGTGAGGAGGAGGGGGCAGGCCTGGCGCGGGCGGGAGGGAGACGGAAGCCGGGCCCGCTCAGAGCGGAGCCAGGCCGCGGCGGGGCGGCGCCGGGGCGGCGGGGCGGCAGCCGCGGAGCAGCCGGGGCGGGCAGCAGCCAGGGGCGGCCGCGCGAGGCGGCGGGGATAAGGCCCAGAAACAAACGCACACACACACACACACACACACACACACACACACACACACACACACACACACACACACACACACACACACACACACACACACACACACACACACACACACACACACACACACACACACACACACACACACACACACACACACACACACACACACACACACACACACACACACACACACACACACACACACACACACACACACACACACACACACACACACACACACACACACACACACACACACACACCACACACACACAACACACACACACACACAACACACACACACACAACACACACACACACACACACACACACACACACACACACACACACACACACACACACACACACACACACACACACACACACACACACACACACACACACACACACACACACACACACACACACACACACACACACACACACACACACACACACACACACACACACACACACACACACACACACACACACACACACACACACACACACACACACACACACACACACACACACACACACACACACACACACACACACACACACACACACACACACACACACACACACACACACACACACACACACACACACACACACACACACACACACACACACACACACACACACACACACACACACACACACACACACACACACACAACACACACACACACACACATACACATACGTTTTGGCGTCGCGGCCCCGCGCGCGGCGACGGGGTGTAGAAAACCCCCACACACACTGTCCCCCGACGCGGCAATGGAGCGCAGTGACCGTTTCCAGGGCTACCCAGGTGGGATGCGGTCGGGGCAAATGATCCACCTTGTCCGGAATCGCAGCGAAAGTCGAGCATAGCCACACACACATGCACACACGCAAACACACACACACACACATACATACATACATACATACATACATACATACATACATACAGACAGACAGACAGACAGACAGACAGACAGACAGACAGACAGACAGACAGACAGACAGACATGCAGACATACAGACATACACACATACATAATGGCCCGTGTGCGTGAAACATCTGCACTCACCCTTTTGAACCCCCCCTCTCCACTTCCCAGCGTTTCTTCCAGACATATTCGCCTGGACGTCGGCCACGAGTGCCCCCCCCCGCTAGAGGAAGGCGTGAAGACGGGGCGGGTGACGGCGTCCTTCGAGGCCAGCGTTGGTGTCCTATGCTTGTGACCTTCTTCCGCTACCGCCGCCGCTGCTGCTGGTCCTCCCTCCTCCCTCACATTGTCCTCCCTCCCGCATCCTCTTCCTCCTCCTCCTCGTTCCTCCTTCCTCTCCCCCCCATCACCATCCTCCTCCTCCTCCTCCTCTTCCTCCTCCTCCTCATCATCATCAGCATCAGCCTCATCATCATCAGCATCATCATCATCGTCATCCTTATCATGGTCGTCGTCCTTGTCCTCTTCCTCATTATCATCCTCGTCAGCAGCAGCAGCAGCAGTATCCGAATCATAAACATCATTAGCAGCAGCAGCATCATCTTGATCATCATAATCAGCAGCAGCAGCCTCATCATCCAGCCCCCTGCGTCCTCCTCATTATCGTCCTGATCCCTCTCGGCTCCCCTCCCCTTGAGCTCCTCTTTCTCCTCTTCGTCTCTCGGTCCTGGTCCCTTCTTCCCTCCTCCCTCCTCTCCCTCCTCCTTCTCATGTTCCTCCTCCTCCTTCTCCTCCTCCTCATCACCGTCCCTGTCCTACTCCGCCATCCTCCCCCCCTCCTCCCCCATCAACATTCCCTATTCCTCAGCATCCTCATCCTCATAAAACCTTCACCTCATTTCTTCGGATCCTCATACGTCCTCTTCATCCCTTTCATCCTTATCCTCCTCCCCTCTCCCCCCCACCGTCATTGTCCAGATTCCCTCCTCCTCTTTCTCCTCCCCCTCCTCCTCCTCCTCCTCCACTTCCTCCTCCTGCTCCCCTTTATCCTATCCCAACAAGTCATCCATCCAGCCATCCCCTTCCCTCAGCCCTTTCAGCCCTTCCTCCCCTCCTCGTCATCATCCTTCTGCCCTGCACGGGTGCTTGTAGTGTAGAAAATACATGAATCCGCCTCCTGGTCGACCGTATGACGAGTAGGGTCGATTGGTATTTGTCGGTTTGTTTGCGTTCCCGAGTGACGAGCAGCGTAGACGGATATTGGGCCCGCAGGTGTGCGCTGTCATGCGACAAGTAGCATTGAATAGTCTGTGTGTGCCGCCCCCTGCGCTACCACGCGACAATTGGGGCATGGTAGCATGTGTTCCACCCCTTTGCGACGCCTGCGACACCTTGGAGGGAGGCAAGGCTTGAGTGATACAGTTTGGATATTAGGGTTAGGCCTAATGCGTCGGAATTTCGGAGGGCTGCGGGAACAGAGTTTGGAAGTTAGGGCCGACGTGCTGATCATGGTTAGGGTTTGAGGTCAGCGCTTGGGTTAAGGATGTTCACGGGATATAGCATTAGGGTGTTAGTGTTTGGGTCTTCTGGTCCAGGCTTCGAAGTGAAAGGTGGGGAGGGAGGGAGTTTCAACGCCCGGCCCAAACGGCGGACCAGGGAGAGAAGAGGAGGAGGAGGAGGAGGAGGAGGAGGAGGAAGAGGGTGTCTAAACCGCCCCCGCCCCGTCTGAGAGAACCAGCGGCGCGCCCTCGTTAAATGTTGGGGGTCCCGAGTGAAACTCGAGAGGGAGGCCCTCCTGAGCCGCAGGCAGGCCAGGCGGAGCTGCTGATTGGCGACGCGGCGGTGGCGGACCCGAACGCCATCATGGGTGCCAAGAGCGCCACTTGGAACAAGATCTGGTCCGACCCCGAGTTCGCCCAGCAACCTCCACCAATAGGGACCCCATGCGCCTGGCCGCGGAGTCCCCGCTGAAGCCCATCTCGGTCGACATGTTGAACCGTGTTTTCGCACGGGCCTCGGCCAGCAAAGCCAAGGGCATCGACATGTTGGCGGCGACGGACATCCAGAGGCTGCCGCACACCGCGACGCAAGACCTCGCCAACCTCCGCAACCTCGTGGAGGCCAAGAGCACGTGGCCGTGGCAGCTGGCCACCTCCATCGGTGTTGCGGTGCCAAAACTTGCGGGCGGAGACCGCATGCACGGTATGTTGGCCACGGTGGCCAAGACGCCGTCGAAGCCCAGGGTTGTTGTCACCGACCAGTGGGTCGAAGTTGGGCACTATAGGTGGGACACGGCAATCAAGGGCTCGTCGGCCATGCGGGCCGCCATCGCCCGCTCCATGACGGACGAGACGGCCCGCACCCTGAGCTTGTGCACGGCCACGCTGCTGCTGGACATCACGAAGTTCCACGACGGCATCGGCTTCGACCGCCTCCTCAGGACGGGGATCAGCCAGGGCTTCCCAGCCATCGCGCTGGCCCTGGATTCCCAATTCTTTATGGCGCCACGCAGGCTCCGACAGAACAAGTGGCTGGGGCCCATCATCAACCCTGGCACGTCGGTCCTAGCTGGCTCCTCGCACGGCAATGAGTGCGAGAAGTTGATCCTCGGGCCCATCATTGTGGAGGCGCACTGCCAGTGGGAGCACGCGGAGCCATGGACCTTCGCGGACGACACCGTCGCCAGGGCCGAGGGCACACAGAGCAGAGTGCGCCCCACCACCCCAGGAGCGGCGGTCTCCCTCAAAGAGGGCCTCGACGCACAGAGCCTCCCGGCGTCGGGCGAGACCGCCATCACGTCCAGCCACTCTGCGCTGGGCCGCGAATTGGAGCCTTCGCTCGCGCTCGAAAGCACAACGGGAAAATCATGTTCTACACTAACGATCGCGGCCTCTTTCTTGATTGGAATGCTGCCAGGTATGTCCACAGCCGCGGCCCCAACGGGGACCTCTGGGGCCGAATTAAGACAGCCTCGGCCAGTAGGGGGGCATCTCTGCGCTGGTGGAGAGCAACAAGTGACCATTTGTCGCCGGGGGGCCCGGGCGAGAAATGGCCATTAAAACGGGGACCCCAGGAGGTTCAGGTCATCTGGATCCCTTATCACATGGACGAGGGCCCAGGAAAGTTTGTCGCTCCCGAGCTTCTTTCTAGAGCAGCTGGGCACCTGCGCTGGCGCTCTAGCGGGGCCTACGGCCTCCGAAGCCTGGGAGCGGGGGGCGGTCGGGCGGGCCCCCTGGACCGACGTCACGGACGCCGTCGCAGCACAGGTGCGCCAGAGGCCGCCGAGGGCGAGGGCCGCCCCCAGGCCAAGACGCACCCGCGTCTTGGATGCCAGCCAGCACTCCTGGAACTCCGTCCAGGAGGGCAGCTGGCTGCGCCTCTCCGGCCGTCTCGTAGCCCCATGAGTCCGCGTGGAGGAGACTGCCACTACCTCGCGCATCCCAGCCCCAGCCCCGAAGGTTGTCGATGGAATTATTACACTGTCTCCAGCGCCCAGGAAGTCCATAATACACAGGTTCTGCACCGATGGCCTCAGCCTAGCATGTACTTCTGCAATACATGCGGGCGCACGGCCACGTCCACCTCGGCCAAGTTGGCCGCGCCATGCGATGGCAAGCCCACGTGCAAAGGCACCGAGAACCTTACGCGGATTCGCAAGGGCCTCTACCCCAGTCGCAGCGGGCCGCCCAAAGCGGCCAAGCATGCCCTCAACGTCATCCAAACTGGGGCCAGCCTGCACCCTGGGAGCGGCTCCAAAAGGGGGCCTTCAGAGGCCGGGGTCGGTTTCTCTTTCGGGCGGGGCCCCCAGGCCCCCCCTGGCCCCAGCGCGGCCGGTGGGTCGGCGAGGAAACTGGATCCGCATGTCGAGCTGCCTGCCATTTCCATAGAACAGCTAAATCGAGCGCTCCTCAGCTACCCTGCGCACGCGGGGCTAGGCTGGGACAGGCCCCACCCTTCGCAGCTGTCCTACCCCCCCCCCTCCTACCGGCAGGCCTTCCTGGACATTCTACACGCTTGGGAGCGGTCACTCGTGTTTTTTCAACAAGCCCCAGCCCCCAGGAGGTGCGAGGCCCATTGTGATGTTCCCGATCTGGACTCGAGCTCGGCGGTCGAGGCGTCGCCAGGTGGTGGCGAGGCGTTGGGGGCAGTCTTTGGAAAGCACCGCCTTCTGGTGAGATGCTGGACACACATGCGACAAGTCTGGGCCGGCGCACAATGTCCGACAGCGCTTCGCGCGCTTGAAGGGATTCTCGGCAGCCAGCGGTGTTCTTAACCTCTCCAGGTATTATGAATATATGTTCCATGAGGAGCTGAGGCAGGAGGCGATCAGCACGGGCTTCCCTTTGGCTCTCCTGAAGGGTCTCTGCGCGGCGCATAGGCTTCCACAACGCGCTGTCTGGCAGGGGGCAGTTTCGTCGGCAGTTTCGGCGAATGGCACTCTAGTGGCATTGCGGCAGCTGGCTGCAGCTGTGCTCTGGGACTGGCCAATTTTTTAGCGCGCTCCCTCCTGGTCAAGATCCAGGCGACGTTTCCCGCAGCTCGGTTCCAAAATCTCGCGGGCGATTTCTTGCCCCAGGCGCTCGGCGCGGCTGAGCAGGTCCGTTCTCAGTTCCCTGAGGCCATGATGGCCTTGGCTCGTGGGCCCCAGGATAGACAGCTCCGAGTGAATTGCGACAAGACTGCCTACCTTGCTTCTTCAGGGGAGCTGGCAGCCCAGCTCAATGGCAGGTGGTCCTTAAGGATCGCCTGATAGGGGCGCGGTGCCTAGGCACAGACGCCAATGATGGGTCGGCTCGGAGGGTGGGGGGGCAGGACAAGCGAATCGCCACGGCAACGAGAGTCTCGGCGAGAGTGCAACAGTTTCGCGCAGCGGGAGCTTCCGTCAGCACCATCCAGAAGGGGATCTCCCGCGGCGACGGCGGCGCGGGGGAGCGCGGCCACTGGTCTCTCGGACAACAAGTGGCACGGGCTGAGAGCGGCGGCCCCTCGCGCGGAGAGCCGCCCCCCCGCTGGCACCACGCTTGGCCTCAGGCCCCGCGTTTCCCCATCGAGGCTCCTCCAGGGACCCTTGGATTGTCCGCGCCGCTGAAGTCGCCAAACACTGGTCTTTCTCGGCCTTGTCTGCATTGCCTGCGGCCCCATGCAGGTGGCGCGGCAGGCGGGCGGGGACCGCCTGGGCATAGCTAAGCCTTGGGCCCATTGCATTGACCTTGGGCAAGATGCATTATTTTGCATGGCGCGAGTGGGCATTGTGATGCCGACGGCGCTTCCTATACTACTTCAAGGCATTGAGTATTCGATGTTAGAATTCACGCCTGGTTGCATTGCCGACAGAGCGCAGGAGCCTGCAGCGATCACCTCGGACGTGCTCGTTCTAAGTGAGTTCGAAGGAGGGTGGCGGGGAGCTCTGCACTGGGGCCCTCTCTGCCACCTGCTCTCCAGGAACGAGTCAGAGACTTGGACCAAGCATCACAAGAACGCCTTGACGAGTCTTGCGGGAGGGTTGCATTGGCCCCAACACAGGCTTCACAGGCACAGCAAGGACCAACATGGGAGATGTCTGGTCTGCAGGAGACTTGGCACGCTCTGTCATCGGCTTTACGAGTGCCCATGCATTGAAGGGCATCGGCGCGACGAGTGTCCGCCGCGCGCGCGGCGAGCAGCTGAAAGGGTAAGCTCCCTGTCTCCAGAGGTTGCGGACATGTTCGCTACGTGTCTCTGTCCGCCCCCAGCTCGGCGCCCCCCGATTCCCGAGGCCAGGCTGGAAGACCAGATCATCTGGACGCAGGCTCCTGAGGGCTGGAAATTATCAGGAAAAGTTGTTGTAGACGGGGGTGCGATGTACTCCTGTTTCGCTGGTGTCCCGAGGGTTGGCTGGTCGACTATTCAGATTGATGGCAGTGGAAGTCTCGTTGCTGGAGCGGCTGGGATGGTCCCGCTCAGCCATGCGCCTAACCAAACAGCGCGAGATGGCGAGGACAGAGCTTGTCAGGCCCTTGCTGAGTTCTCAGAATGGAACCCCGAGGGCCCGCTCGCCGTATTCTCGGACTGCGCAGACCACAACCCCATGGAGCGCGCAACGAATCCAGGCGTGGCCCACGAGCAGTAGGAGCATTTCTGGGCCCGCTGGTGGGAGGGGATCGGCCACCATGCGTCTGTCGCCAAATTGAAGTCTCATCGCTCTCGCTCGTCCGCCACCAGCCCCGAGGATGATTGGCGAATCCTTGGCAATCAGTCGGCTGGCCGCTCGGCGCGGAAAGGAGCCCCAAGGCGGCCGGCCCTTTTTCAGCAGGCTGCCTTTGCACAGGGGGTCGAGGCCATGGCCCACGACGTGGCTGGGTGGCATGCGAGGCCCCGACAGTTGTTCGATGACGGGGGGGTCGTCGACTCTGCGGGGGTCGTCGCGACCTCGGATCTCTGCTTCGAGTTGAATTCGGATGCCTGGGGGGAGCTGGCCGAGGCGGCTAGGGGACGGGGGCGTTCTGCCCTTCGAGCGAGTCCCTGGGGTGATCACCGCGGGGGGGAGCTGCCGCGCCCCCATCGCCCCCGCCGTCTCTTTTGCCGCCGCCCCCTTCCTCGCCCCCCCCCCCGCTGCTGCCGATGCTTCAGCTAAGCGGCCAGATCTCCAGGACTGCGCTGGGCTGCCATGGGCGCGCAACTCCCCTTCATTTGTCCCAGCGTCGGTCTCGGGAGCGGCCCGTGAGCCAGGTGCACTGTTTTGTGAGGTACGCGGGTCCTCGGTGCAAAAAGTTCGCTCGGTCGGGTGTGGGGCTGGGCGGGACGCGCCAGGCTTGAGGACCCAGCGATCTCTCCTCCGTCGAGGTCTGACGCCAGGTCGCCTGAAGGCGAGGATCGCGGACGTCCGCGGGCCGATAGGCGCAGACGTCGAGGCTTGGGCGGGCCGCTCCCCCTCCCTCGCTGGAGGCGCGGGGCGGCAGGAGGCAGGAGGTGGAGATTCTCAGTCAAGCGTTCCTGCAACCAGTGTTGGTCAAGTACGGCACCAACGTGCCGATCCTCGACGATCTTTCGGTCGCCCTGTTACACGGCTTTGTGCCCCCCTCTTCCGTTTTGGAGTTCGCTCGGACTTCGGAGGAGCGGGGGGGCCCTGAGTTGGGTTTTTCAGAGGAGCCTGCACAGGCAGGCGCTTCTCCGAGGAAAGGGGGCAGGACCCTGTCCCATGTAGTCAGCACCTCCTTCTCCTCCACCTCCTCCTCCTCGTCCTCGTCCTCTTTCTCCTCCTCCTCCTCCTCCGCCGTCCTCTTTCTCCTCCTCTTCCACTCCTCCTCCATCCTTTTCCTTCTCCTCCTCGTCCTCCTCCTCCCCCTCATCATCATCAACATCATTATCAAAATACCCCTCGCATCTTCTTCTCGCTTCTCTTTGTTCTCCCCTTGTCCTCGACCACGCCGGCTATGGATCAGGTGGTGTGACTGTCGGGGTCATTGGTTCTCTGAACCAGATCCGCATCCCGTTGAGGCAACCATATGATGCCCTGAGCGTGGCTGGCAGGGAGAGACGATAGAGGAGGAGGAGGAAGAGGAGGACGACGAGGACGAGGACGAGGACGAAGACGAGGAGGAGAAAGACGAGGAGGAGGGGGAGGAGGAGGAGGAGGAGGAGGAGGAGGAAGAGGAGGAGGAGGAAAAGGAAAAGGAAAAGGAACAGGAGGAAATGGAGGAGGAGAAGGAGGAGGAGTAGGAGGAAGAGGAGGACGCAGAGGAGGACGCAGAGGAGGAGACAGGACGGCGCGGGCAACGGCGACCGCGACTGCAAGGGTGAGGAAGGCAACGGAAATTAGATTGGAACCAATGACAAAATCACAGCGCAAAAAATCATTCGGAAGACCCAGGTCACCCGCGAGGGCGCGAAGACGGTCGCCCGTCGCGGTCCTGGGGCCGCTGCGGCTGCCTTCGTCCAGGGGGGCGGCGCGAGGGCGCGAAGGCCGCCCGTTGCGAAGCGCGATGCACGAGAAAACTCTGGGGGCAGGTCGGAGGGACAGGGCAGGGGTCTGGAGGTGCAGCCGCACCACGGAGGGGCCGGCACTGGGCGGAGGCCAAGACGCTGCCCCCGCACCTGGAGCGGATCGTCACCGACATCGTCACCGACAACTGACGGAGGGCACCCGCGGCCCGCGGGGCGGCCAGGCGGCTGCGCCACCCATAAGTGGGGCGCGCCGCGCTCCGCCCCACGGCGCCTCCCCGCTGCAGGGGGGCACCGGGCTCGAGTCCCGCGGCTCCCGAATCAGAGGAACGGGGGGGGCATGCCAATGATACGGCTCGAGAGCTCCAGGATGTCCTGGATCTCCTCATGCTCCACACGGTCTGCGGAAAAACGAGGGCCGCTGGATCCTCCGGAGATGCTGGAGCGCATCCTGAGCCCCCCCCCTGCTTCTACGAGGGCCTCTTGGAAGACCAGGGGGGCCCGTCAGAGGAGGCCCCTGCCTTCTTAGGAGCCTCCAGCCTTCTCAGATTGCGATCCCCCTCGCGCTACCCCTCTGTGCGCGCCGCTGAGAGGGGGGAGAGGAGAAGGAGGCGGAAGAGGAGGAGGAGGAGGAGCAGGAGGAGGAGGAGGAGAAGGAGGAGGGGAGGAGGAGGAGTGGGAGCAGGAGGTGGACGAGGAGGAGGAGGAGGAGGAGGAGGACGAGGAGGAGGAGGAGGAGGAGGAGGAGGAGGCGGAGGAGGAGGAGGAGGAGGAGTGGGAGGAGAAGGAGGAGTGGGAGGAGAAGGAGGCGGAGGAGGAGAAGGAGGAAGAGGAGGAGGAGGAGGAGGAGGGCAGATTCGAGCCAAACGCGGCCATCTCCCGCGGTTTCCGCCCTCTCTGTGAGGCCTCTTCTTGGAGAGGCGCGTCGCCGCCACGGCCAGGCCCGCCTCGAAGAACGGGGCTCCAGGCACCGATGTTGGGCGGCCCTGGGCCCGGAGGGCGCGCTGCCGTGGTCTCCACGGGCCCACCTGCGAGCATGGCTCGCTGTGGTTCCTGGCCTCCCCCGGAGTTGCTGCAGGATCTCGCGGGCCACCTTCGTCGCGCCGATGTTGGGCGGCCCTGCGCCCGGAGGGCGCGCCGCCGTGGTCTCAGCGGGCCCGCCTCCGAGCATGGCTCGCTGTGGTTCCCCGGCTCCTCCAGAGGAGCTCCAGCGTTCTCGGCTTCCCAGATGGGGTCGGAGTGGATGGGGTCGGAGGATCGCGCCGCATCGCCGATGCATCGGCGATCGAGCCCGATCTTCTCCACGCCGATGGCGCTGATGCATCGCCGCAGCACCGGCGACGCATTAACCATACGGCGCCATCCTCCGACCCCATCTACTCGGACCCCATTTGGAGGGCCTCTGAGGATCTCGCGTGCCACCTGCTTCTGGGTCGCCCGCGGGGGCGCGGCGAGCCGCGCGCGGTGGCGCGAACGTCGCAGCCTGGGCCAGAGCGGGGTGTCCCTCTCCCCGAGGGGGCGGTGCAGAGAGTCGTGCATTGCGCATCGCGCGGCACAATGCTGACCTCGCTTCGTGCGTCTGGTTGATCTGCCCCACCCCCGTCTTTACCGACCGTCCGGCCGCGAGCGATCATGAATGATCGCAGCGGCGGCAAATCGAGGATGGCAGGAAACAAACCGTGCGTACTCGTCCTTCTGCGTATGACGTCTTCTTGCGATTCTTCACATTGACCTTCACGAAGACGCAGGTAGTCCACTACCCCCAGTTAGCCCCACTGCCAGGAGATGCCGCTCATGCCAGCAGCTGACTCGCGCGAACTAGCTCCGCTTCATCGTGATGTTGGCAGTGCTCATAGCCGGCTAGTCCAAGCTGGCTCCGTTGGCCCCCTGATGTTGGCAATGCCGGTAGCCGACTGGCCCCGATCAGCCAAATTGCCTCTCGCTGTTTGCAACCCTTTCTTGCTTGAAGTGAGTACATGCTTGCGTGACCCACTCGTTGTTTGAATGCTTGCCGGCTTGCGTGACAGCCTGCTTGCTTGCTTGCATGAGCGCTTGCATGCTTGGTTGCTTGCTTGCATGCTTGGTTGCCTGCTTGCATGCTTGGTTGCTTGCTTCCACGCTCGATCGCTTGCATAATTTATCGGTTACCCCGAATGCCCCATAATTTGTTTTGGTGCAGCGTCGACCCACAACCCTCCCTCGTTTTGAAGAGGGCATTCCTGCTCCTCTCCTCTCCTTCCGCTCTCTTCTCTCCTCTCCTCTCCTCCCCGCTGCCTTCTTGATTGACCCTCACTTGTTTTTCGTCTCTTCCTCGCTTCCCCTCCCTCGCCTTCCCTCGGCGCTGCCAACTGCCAAGCTGTCTGGGAAGTGCAGTGGAGTGCGGGCCCAGAGCGGACCGAACGAGACCTCGCCCTCATGGCCGCTGCCAACTGCGAAACTGTTTCCTGGGAGGTCCCGCGAGGTGCGGCCTCACGAGGCTTCGCCTCCCTTCGGCGCTGCCACCTGCACAACGGTCGCCGCGTTCGTGAGCTCCTGGGAGGTCCAGCGGAGTGCGGTCCCCCGCGGACCACACGAGTTCTCACCCCCCTCGGCGCTGCCACCTGCGCGACTGTCGCCGCTTTCCTGAGCTCCTGAGGTCCAGCGAAGTGCGGCCCCGCGCGGGTCACACGAGACCTCGCCCCCTTCGGCGCTGCCACCTGCGCGACTGCTACCGCTTTCGTGAGCTCCTCGGTGAGATCCAGCGAAGTGCGGCCCCGCGCGGGCCACACAAGACCTTCCTCGCCTCCGTCGGCGCTGCTAGCTGCGCAACGGTCGCCGCGTTGGTGAGCTCCTGGGAGGGTTCATCGAAGTGCGACCCTGTGCGGACCAACCGAGAGTTCGCCTCCCTCGGCGCTGCCAACGGCACAAGTGCCGCCGCTGACGTGAGCTCCCAGGAGATCTTTCGGAGTGCGACCCCGCGCGGGGCCACACGAGACCGCGCCTTCCTCTGGCGCAGCTACCTGCGCGGGTGTCGCCGCTATCGCGAGCTCATGGAAGGTCCGTCGGAGCACGGTCCCACCCAGATCAAACGAGGCGTCACTTCCTCGGGCGCTGCCAGCTGCGCAGCTGCTGCCGGCTTATTTGGCTTCTGGGAGGTGCATCGCAGTGCACCAAACGAGACTTCGCTTCCCTCGGCGCTGTCAACTGCGCGGGGGCGGAGTGCAGTCCCACGCGGACTAAACGAGACATCGCCTCCCTCCGCGCTGCCACCTGCGCGGGAGTGCAAGCGGAGTGCGATTCCACGCGGGCCAAACGAGACCTCGCCTCCCTCGTCATTGTTAACTGCGCAACTGCTGCCGCTGTCGTGAGCTCCCGGTAGGTCCAGTCGAGCACGATCCGACCCAGACCAGATGAGGCTTCACATCCTTGGGCGTTACTATCTGACCAAGTGTCACAGCTTTCGCGAGCGCCTCGAAGGTCCATCGGAGTGCGACCCCACGCGCACCAAACGAGACCACGCCTCGTTGGGCGCTGCCACCTGCACTGTCGCTCCTGGGAGCTCCTGGGAGGTCCTTTCGTGAGCTCCTCGGAGGTGTCACTGCTGCCGCCGCTTTCGTGAGCTCCTGGGAGGTCCAGCGGAGTGCAGTCCCACGCCGATCCAACGAGACCTCACCCCCCCCCCCAGCGCTGCCACCTGCGTGACTGTGGCCGCATGCGTGAGGTGCTGGGAGGTCCGGAGGAGTGCGGCCTTGTGCGCACCAACCGAGACCTGCGCCACTGTCGCCGCTCTCGGGAGCTGCTGGAAGGTCCAGCAGAGTGCGGACCCACGCGCGTCCACCGAGGCCCGGCCCCCCGCGGCGCTGCCAGCTGCGCACCCGTGTCCGCCCTCGTGGGCTCCTGGGAGGTCCAGCGGTGTGCGGGCCGTTCGTGGGCCAAACGCGACCCCGGCCCGCGTCCCTCGGGCCCCCTGGCACGGAGAAGGAGCAGGGCGTGGCGAGCTCCGAAGGAGGGTCCATGGAGGAGGAGGGAAGTGGAGGAGGAGGAGGAGGAGGAGAAGGAGGAGGAGGAGGAGAGGAGGAGGAGGAACAGAGAACGGGGGATTGTGGAGCCCCTCGGGGTTCCAGAGCGCGCGCGCGAGGCTTTCACACTGAGTTCGCGCGTCATTGGCATTGGTGTTGGTTGGGAATGGATTTGTTTCGCATCGGCATGCATTGGCCTGGTGCAGGAGATAGACAGAGAGAGCGAGAGAGAGAGAGAGAACACTAGAGAACGATCTAACCAGAAAAGATTAGTATGAGCGGATCACGGCGAAAAGAAAAATGACAAATAACAATCAAAGTTTAAGGGTGAAAGAGCGTTTCACTCGATAAAAAAAAAACGTATGAAAATGACGAGGGGCTCCACAATCCCCCTCCTCGAGGAACAGGAGGAGGAGGAGGAAGAGGAGGAGGCGGAGGAGGAGGAGCAAGAGGAGGAAGAGGAGGAGGAGGAGGAGGAGGAAGAGGAGGAGGAGGAGGAGGAGAGGAGGAGGAGGAGGAGGAGGAGGACCGATCGCCCCTCGTGGCACGGAGAAGGGGTGGGGCGAAGGAACGGGGAGGCAAGGAGGGAGAGAGAAGCAGGCAGGCATGGGAGCGCGGGGGAGGGAGGCAGGCAGGGAGAAGGAGAGCAGAGGGCGAAGGGGGGAGGAGGGTCCAGGAGGGAGAGGGAGGCAGGCAGGCAGGCAGGCAGGCAGGCAGGCAGGGAGGGAGGCAGGCAGGCAGGCAGGCAGGCAGGCAGGCAGGCAGGCAGGGAGGAGGAGGAGGAGGAGGAGTAGGAGGAGGAGGAGGAGAAGCAAGAGGAGGCCAGAGAGAATCCCCCTGCCACCCCACCCCCCACTGGGAGGGGCGCCCCGCGCCCGTGCCCCGCCAGCGGAAGGCGGCATGAAGGAGATGAGGAAGGAGGGAGGAAGGCGGGAGGAGGGGGGAGGAAGGAGGGAGGAGGGGGGAGGAAGGCGGGAGGCAGGAGAGAAGGAAGGAGGGAGGGAGGAGAGGAGGGAGGGAGGAGGGAGGGGAGGGGGCCCAGTCATGCTCGCGTCGTCACGGCGGGGGGAGGTGTGTAGCCATGTCGGCCTCGATGGGGGGCCCTCGCCGGACCACCTGGGCCGTCAAACAACGGCCTTCGCGAGGAAAAGCAGGCCTTGGGGAGAGGGCCGGCGGGACTTCCGGAGACTCTGTGTTGGAAAGACGCAGGCGTCGCAAGTTCAGGGGCGGAAAAGAGGGGGGTGATGACGTGGGGGGGGGATATCATGGCGGGGGCCATGATTTTTCCCCAGATTTCATGGCGCCTCTTCTTATTCCATTACGTCCCTGGCCCCCCCGCTGGGCCGCGCACATTCCGCCGGCCATGATTTGCACCCCCTCCCCTCTTGGACCCCCCCCTCTTTGC